AGCATCCCAACCCTGATGCCCAGGCCCTCCAAGGAAGAGCTTAACATTGGCTTTTCAGACTACACTTTTGGTCCCTCTGCCTTGGTCCTACTATATCCTCCCAGTCTAACTCCTACCATGTTCCTTTCTCCTCGCCCTGCTCTCTGCTTCTATTCAAGATTTCTATGCTTATGTCTAGCCAGGACCTCACATTTCTACAATGAGTAGAAAGTGTGAGAAGGAGAAATCTGAGTTCAAATACGTCTCTGTTTCTGCTTCACTGTGGGGCCTAAGATGAGTGGCTTAACGTCTCATGCTCAGTTTCCCCATCTGTAAACTGGGTCAATAATCCTATATAATAAAAGCCTAATATGCTAAGTGTCCAGTCATCTGGTCAGCTGTTCAACCAATCAAAGCATAATATGCTAATGATATGCTAAGACTGCTCAACCGCTCCCTATGATGTGCACTGACCACCAGGGGGCAGATGCTCCGACTGGTAGGTTAGATAGCTGCTGGGATCCGGCCAATCAGGACTGAGCAAGAAGGCTGGACATGCCCTGGAGCCCTCCTGCAGTCCCTCCCTGGCTGGCCAACCTCCCTCATCCCTCCCCAGTCCCGATAGTGCACTGGTGAGGTCCCTTGGCTTGGCCTGTGCCCTCTCACAATCCAGGACCCCTCAAGGGATGTTGGAGAGTCGGTTTTGACCCGATTCCACAGGCCAGGCCGAGGGACCCCACTGGTACACGAATTCGTGCACTGGGCCTCTAGTCATATTTATATGATTATGTTGTGAGAAATAAAAGAGATGATGTGTGGGAAGCACTTAGCTCTGTAGCTGGTAAATAGCCATAAATAACAATAAATATATTATTAACATATTAATAATAAACATTATTAGCAGTGTGAGCAAGGAGGCAAAAAAAAAGATTTAATGAAGGGCACCATTTCAAAGGATGTGAGTCTGGAGGTCCATGGACAGACTTCCCTTCCAGCAGGATGCCTGGCAAGGGAGGGCTTGCTCAATGGGGTTGGAACTGAGATAAGTAGGACACTTTGGGCAGGAGGCCAGGGGCATCTGTGCCGCAGCCCTGAGAAGGAGCTCAGGAATCCCTCTGCCTCCTGAAGGAGTCTCTTATCTCCTTGGAATCTGAGGAACTTTGATAATTTTGCAAACCTCACAGGATATCTACTTTGATCATCAGAGTTTTGTGGGGTTTTTAATGTATGCATCAGATCTACTCAAATAGAAATTCCTTGAGGTTGGGCATATGCACTGAGCATGATGCCTTTCCCTTGATAGATTCCCTCAGGATCCCTGAGTGTTTGACCTGGAAGAGACCTTGAAAATTCTCAACTGCAAGCCCCCACCTCCTGGCACCCCCAGTTCTCATGTAACAGATGAGGAAAGTGAGGTGAACCTTTCAGAAGAGCAGGAGATAAGCAGGGACCATGGTCATCAGTAAGAAGTTAGAGATGACCAAGGATAAGGGCCCCCAAGTTGGGGCTTGCGGTGTCAGGAAGAGAGAGGCAGGAGGGGAGAGAGAGAGAGAGAGAGAGAGAGAGAGAGAGAGAGAGAGAGGAGAGAGATGAGAAGGACCGTTGTGAAGACCGTCAATGCAGATGGAAGTCATGATTCCTGGTCAGAGATGGGGATCCATTCAACATCTATTGCAGCATCAAAAATCTGGGAAGAGCCCTAGCTGGTTTGGCTCGGTGGATAGAGCATCATCCTGCAGACTGAAGGGTCCCGTGTTCGATTCCGGTCAAGGGCACATGCCCAGGTTGCAGGCTTGCTCTCCAGTAGGGGGCATGCAGAAGGCAGCCAATCAATGATTCTTTCTCATCATTGATGTTTCTATCTCTCTCTCCCTCTGCCTTCTTCTCTGAAATAAATAAAAATATATTAAAATAAAAAAGAAATCTGTGAAGAAGCTTAGAGCCTATCAAGCCAAGGTGAGTTCTCAAATGTCAGTAAGGGTGAGGATAAACCAGTGTGTTTTGCCTGCCACTACATTTTTTTCTTTAATTTTAACCGTTATCTCTACTGAACACAAGGCACACAGGCATTTGTCAGGCTGATTCCCGGGTTGAGTCTGGGTGCATTCACGGATTCTGAGGACAAAGTAAGTGCAAGGGGCTCAGATCACAGAACAGCCTGAGACACCTAACGAGGTCACTGCCCTTCAGGGAGCAACTACGGCTAATATGTCCCCTTCCTGCAGGAAGTGTGAGCCCGGCATCTGTGCTCCCTAATCTTCTTAGCTGTCCCCTCCTGGGTCAGAGGCACTCATCTATAACCGAGCCTTCATCGCTGCCAAGGGCCTCCAGACAGCCTCTAAACCCCTAAGGCAGATCGCTTCCCTTCTCGCTTTAATTCCTCAGGCCTCAGGGAAATTCCCAGGATTCTAACAGCTTTCTTTAAAATATTTTTAATTAATTTTAGAGAGAGGAAAGGAGAGACGGGGGGGGGGGGAGGGAGAGAGAGACATCAATTTGTTGTTTCACGTATTTATGCATTCATTGGCTGCTTTTTGTAGGTGCCCTGATCGGGGAATCAACCAACAACCTTGGTCTATGGGGACAATGCTCAACAACTGATCTGCCTGGCCAGGGCCAGGTCCCTAAGGGCTTTCAAACAGCCAGCTTATTGTTTAAGCCGTGACAAAAAGCTCAGATTAGGATAATCAGAGGTCACAGCATATTGTCCTCCACTATCCCTTAAAACAATAAAGGCCTCTTGAGCCTTCCCTTCCCCTTTATTTTTGCCACAGAAGAGCAGCTCCCTGACCAAGTACCAATAGTGGCGTGAAAGTCCTCCCATGAGGTGACACTGAGCACGGAAGGCACACAGCATGGAGAGCGAAGCAGAAAAGTGGAGGACGCCCAGGATCCCAAAGTCTCCGTGGAGCCACCACGCCAGCCACCACCACCTACCTCCCTATTTCCTGGATATGAAAGAATTAACCCTGGGGGTTTAAGCCACTGTAGCCAGGAGTCTGTTACGGCAGCTTAAGATGATTCCCTACCAACACAGAAGTCCTGACCAGAATGAGGGGCAGGGGCTTGAAGTGGTTAGTGAAGAAAGGTTTAATTTGGGGGAAAGAATGAATTTTCAGGCATCAGGATGGCAGGTTAGACTGGAGATC